TATATGTATATATGTATTTATGTATATATATATGTATATAGATATATAATTGAATATATGCAATTTCATAAAAAAGTCGTATAAATACATATACATTAAAATATACAATAAATATTATGTACATGGATTTCTGAAATAGAACAGTATATATAAAGAACAGTATCCACTATATACGACTACGTTATGAATTCTATCATAGCCTTCAGAAAATTTAACATTAGAAGGCTATGATTCTATGCATACAAACATAGCCTTGTTTTATTTAGAAAACTATGATACAAATATGTAGCTTTATCTGCATTGCGACACGTGTATTTCTTCTTCTTCAAAACTCGATAGCGAACTTCGAGCGAAGCCAAAGCGTTTATCACGTAATTCATAGTTTTGAAATGAGCTTGTTTCTATGACAAAATATGAGTAGCCAATACACTGCCTGAATACCGCTGCATGCCAACCAATGAAAACCTACCTTAGATTGGGTAATCGAAGATAGATTACTCCGTAAATGTAATATTGTTCATACACAATTGGGGGTTTTTTTTTGGTCTCTACGAAAGTATAAACAAAACGTTCTGTGACCGTGTGGCTTGACTGGGTCGTGAGTCGGCACATATGGTCAATTGGTCATATGCCAGACAGCCAGAGTTGCCAATGTTCATTCGTACCATCAGAATTAGTGTTGCCGTGTTCGGTGTTGGTAACTGATAATTTTATTAGTCATCATCTGTTTCTCTGAAAGAAATTTTTTTTTGTTGGATGTTTTCCCCTGTGATAAAACCTTCCATTCAATTTCAATTGTGTATATTGTGTTTCCCTCTTTCTCACATCATTCCCTCCCCCTCAGTAAATCCAGACTCCAGCAGACTCCAGAGAGTGTGTGCGACTGTGCGTAATGTCTAAATTTGTTGAATATACTCTTATGATATTTTTGCGTCGATGGAGAAACCATAAAAAAATCGAAAGATTATATGTACGACAAGAAACTGCAAACGATAATCACATCGCTGTATATGTTCAAGTGTGTAAGTCAATTCCTTGTTCGATAACGAAGAATCGATCATACACTGAATGAAAAGTATACGGTCTTGTTCGTTGCAACCAAGTATATGTGAAGTAAAGTAAGAATTTAGATTTATTAAAAGCGTTGCTCCTAAGGTCGAATAGCAAATCAAACCTACACTTAGCTACAAAATGCGTGATATGACTATGTGCACAAACCTCATGCCTCCCATGGCGGGTACGGCCAAGCTAGCTAACCGTCAACCAGTAAAGCAAAAGGAGAATACTTCACTGTCATGGGTTCCGTGTGTAGGTGCTCTCCTGCAGGTTGCACTAAGTTCAGTCTCGATGCTCTGCACAGGCGACGGAGGATCTAGAGAGAGCGCTTGGAATACAAGGTGGGTCGACTTGTAATATACATCGAGAGGCGAAATTCCGCGACAGCATAAGAAAATATTGAGATGTTGATCTTTATTGGGACCCTATTCTTCCTTTCAGAATCACTGAATCTTAGAAGATTATTTATAGCTGCTGGATTTTAATAGATATATGTATACGTAGCTGCGTACCGTGAACATGAATTTGCGCAGGGCACAACTTTTAAAAAATTACCCTGGTCTATATATGCATACATACAAAGTCGTGTAGTCGAAAGCTATCATTTGACTCTGAGCACGCGAACAAAATAGGTACAATGATATTAGACGCGAGGTTTTCGATGGATTTTTTGTCGCTCATAAATCCCATTTTTACTTATAATACAGCGGCAGTAAAACAGAAATTGCTGCGATTGAAGTATGTCAACCAAAAATCGTGACCGAGGACTTGTCGTCGTCTTCTGATAGTCTAAGTAGCTTGAAGCTTAGCAGGAGAGTCAGTTTTCCAACTAAACAAATTGAGTTTGTGGATACGACTTTCAGCAAATGCGAGTATGATAGATCCAGCCTTATTCTGTCACCGCTTACGGCTTCTAAACACCGTCAGATCATGAACGAATTATATATCTATCGCAAGTACGAGATGGACGTGTTTCGAACTACATCTTCAGCATGACACGCTGCACGGGGGTTTGGCCTATAATGCGAACCTGGTTGTGTGGTAAAAATTATAGACATTGTCACGAATACTGCTACACTATCGTCGCTACCCAATATTCCGCCAAGAAGCAGCGATCACTCCACGATATACTATGGAGTAAAGACCTGGCAGAAGAGAGATTAACGTAGCGAATCGAAAATGCAAGAAGCAGGAAGGTTTGTATCGGTGTTTCTCTATGCACGGGTGAGATGAACGCAGAGGTGGCTGTGCAAAATTTACGACAGGATCCAAGAGATTGTGCTGATAAATTAATCGAATCTCCACAGACAGCTTATTACCTGGTAGGTTGAAGGGTACCTACTCCATAACCCTTAAACGAGAGCATCACGTTATCGATAACAACACGTGCCTTGCCTCCGAGCATGTTTCCCCGCACGAACCTCGTCCATCAGTAGAACCGCACGTTAATACTTTCAGAGGTCTGATATCCGGCACTTTAAATATATTCATGTACGCCGCAAATTGTCCGATCGCCGGATGCGCCATGCTAGCGGATTATTGATAGGATAGTCAATATACAAGTACCTATTCATAATGTACCGCTTGAGATCTAATGAAAGTATGACAACCTGGGACAAAATACTGACTAGGAGAATCAAAAGTAAAATTGACAATTCATGCATTCACTTTCCAAGTTGATTGAGCTCATACCAGCTTGAGCCGATTGCTCAAGCCATCAGATTTTTTGCCCAGAACACGATGTATAGCCACACTTTAACTCTACTGAAAAGGCCGGTGGCACAAAACCATAGCGAGTACCCAAAACTCGATAAGAGTACTCATAGAAGCCCATACGGTAAGATCATACACTGCGTTTACAGACCGATGTAGGGATACGCCTCACATAATTGCTACATAGAAAGATCTGACCACAGGCAAATATCCGCAGCGCTTATACTGTTTTTGATTTACTGTGCTGCTTTTCCTTTCAGAAGCATATAGATAGCTGTTATAGATTTCGGACATGTACGCGCCAGAAATTCAAACTTCTTGTTCAACGTGGTTAGTGATTACCATGATATTGAGCGAACTCGAACAGTCAACTCATAAACCCCGCGCCTCACTTTTAAGCAGTGTTGACCTCACGCACATTGCTTTTGCAACCCAACTACTAACACTTTTCAAGCCGCTCATGAAACTCTTGTGGAAGTCCCCTTAAAGCTGCAGGCGTATTTCTGTATTTAATATCATTTCACTCTTTGAGGTATGACAAAGCTTTGTTTCATTGCTAGTGAAAGAATGCCATTTTACTCGGGCTCGCAACATCAGAAACGTAGACAACCTTCTTATTTCCGGACGAAGATAGGCAGCTGCAGTACCAGTCAGCCCAACATCAGACTAAATTACCTTGTGTTGCGACGTCGCGATATATTCGTTCCAGCTCACAGTGAAGCCATTAAAACGGTGTCACACTAGTTGATTACTCGTGACTAGCTATTATACATTCCCTTTCATTGCAAGCACGCGAAACTCTCTTCCATGATCAGCTTCACCGAGCAGTAGAAACCAAGCACGGGAAATACGATCCAAATACAATTTGCGAAAAGCACAACGCCAATGTCACTCCAAGCGGACTTTAGATATCGGCCACAGTTGACATAGGAGAAGAAGTAGACCACCGTACCATACCATGTCTGATAGAACAACAGCATGCCCAACATCCCAGTCACTTTAGCACTGAAGATGGGACTGATAATGGACACTGCCATCAGCAAGGACGGTAACAACGTAGAATGCCCATTTCCAACATCTATATTAAATCCAAAGGTTGTTTTGTCGGCATAGCTGGGATCATAGTACCCATAATCGATCCAAATCTGACTCCACAAATCGGGACAGAATGCCTTTGTGATCGGCACATCCTGGACAAAGATGAAATCCTCAGACTGTGGCTGGGTCGTGTAGAAGTTGTCCTTGATACGCTTCGTGTGTTTGTTGTGTATGCGATCGTATTTATAGTATAATACCAATTCCCATAAGCATATAAGGGTATTCACCAGCAAAAACAGTATCAAAGCCTGGGCGCTTGAATTCCAGCCGTACGTGACATAGTGTAGGAATCCACAGACTATAACTGGTGGGCCCATGAGTAGACACAGCAATATTATAACCAACATATCGTCAACAACGATTTTTCCTATACTTTACAGAAATTCAATTGAACTCTTCTTCGACCAAACAGTACCAAATATATATATATATCGAGTATCTCAAACCAGTATATATTTGAAAGTTAAGTGAACACTATGTGAATTGTATTGAACATTTGAGCATGCCTCAGCTAGTGAGAGGCTGCTGCAGTGCTGTTTACTATTTAATTTGTGACCGACGTGAATTCGGTTTGCACCGACGCAGTAAACGTTTAACGGAGACAAAAAAGCTAACCTGAAAAGATTAGCTACTCACTGCCACCATCAAACGTTTTCTAGGAAATTTCAAAATTTCATAGCCCTAAATCATAGCTTTCTTGATAGGCACTAAAAATCAGACATATTTTCAGCTTGGTCTTAACTGAAAAAAAAAGTCCTGCTGCTGTTCAGCTGTTGTAATGACTCATCATGAGAGGAGCAATCTGTGGCAAACAAATGATTGTGTGTGTATTTTAGAGGACGATGTGTGGTACGATAATATTTTACACCTATCATACGTATTAATAGTATGTATTATAGTATGTATGTATGATTTTTCCGATCTTCCGGCACGGCGGCAGTTCCGCACCCTGTGGACAGTAATCTTGCATTTATGCTATTGGCAGTATGCATATATATGTGACTATATAGATATGTAAATACATGAACAAAATATCTTTGCATCACTATGAGCGAGTTGCCATTCCTTTATGTATAAATTTTATCAGGGCCTGCTTTGTCAACCCACAAGCTTGAAGATGTAATACTAAATTCTATATCTCGCGTTGTCCTCCCACATTCATCCCTTCATCCATTCGAGCTCAAACATTTGAGAAAATTGTCTGTTGTACGAGTATATATATATCTGTATCTATAACTATTATATATATATATATTATTTTAGATATACATATACATATATATATATACATACATATATATATATATGTATATATGTATATATACATGTGTGTGTATCTATGTATTTATGTTTCTACGTATCGATGTATCCAAG